TAAATATGAGATAATGTAAAAAATTTTAATATTAAGTAAAAAAATATAACTATGAAATATATTAATATCTAAATTAGTAGAAACATAATTAATTAAAAAAGGCACAAATTGTAGATAAGTTCTTACATTCCTTACGGTTGTAAAGATTGAAAAGATTTAGAAATTCTTCTTGGTTACATTACTAGAGACACCAAAGATAATAAAAAATGAGTTTAAGTTTTAAGTATAGTGCAAGTAATTTTTAAAGGTCAAAATTAGTTTTTTTGCTTAATGCATTAATGACTCAATCCAATCTTTAAAATCTTGTTAAAAGTGAATAAAATCTATATATTATATAAAATGCTACCTCTGCATTTAATAGGGTATGCATTTAACTAATAAAAAAAGAAAAGAAAATGCATGATATTAAAAAAATGAAAATTTTAAATGATAATAAAAATGGTAGATGAAGAAGTAAAGAAATAAAAATTGTAAATGATAAAAATAATTAATAAATGAATGTGGTAGATGAATAGCTTAATACACCACACTTATATAAAATCTTAATAAGATTTATTTATTTATTATTATATTTATTAAAGATAATTATCTTTTTCACCTAAAAAATCCTGCTAAATCTCAATTATTCAATAGTGTGTAAGATTTGTGTGTAAGTAGATTTTTACTATATATATATATGTATAAATAAATAAATATATGCATTTCAAAAGGGATACAAACATAGCCAATAGGGCTCTTGAAAACATTGAGAAGAATGTGACAGAAGAAAAAACAACCTAATAGCTGAACTCAAGCAATGAAAATTCATATTCAATGCATTGGCAGACCACTCCTTATCACATCAATCTGCTTTCCTGAAAGGCAATACAGGTACCCCCTTCCCTAATTCTCTAACTTGTACACAGATTCAAGTTTTTTCCAAACTCATTAACATATAGCTCATTATCCATGGAGTAGCCACCCCATGACAAGAGGAATGAGAAAGCTAGTTGTTACTTTTCCCACAGCTGAATTTTAGGTCTTCAGCTTTTAGCTGGTCATTCACCTTTTTGGAATTGAAGTGGAGGGTGCTGAAGGGAAAATAATGGGTCAGAATCAGATTTGAAAAACCAACCAAACACTATTAGAACCCTAAGAAAGACTAGAATGCTAAGATTTCTATTCAAACTCAAACGAATGCTGGAGAAGAAAGCAAGGGAGACGTAAGACACTAAGACCAATATGGCCGGTGGATATGTGTGTCCATTTAGTCATCATCTTCCTTTGAAAAAAAAAAAAAAAAGCACAGCTTAATCAATAGGGAAGGGAAACCCTCCCTATCCTTTGCCCTGCCCTTTGGCTAAAAGTAGGTTCATGAATTTAAAAATATACGTAAGACCACTTCAGTTACAGGGTTGTAAGAATGCAAAACAATGCATCACTTTCAGCTTTGTTCTTTTAGATAAGCATGCTTTGCATGATCTTAATAAACAATTCTTAGAGGGGCAACTTAAATAGTGGAGATCTTATTAAGTGTTAGTTCAATTCACTAGAAAGAGGTTCACCTTACTCAAAAAGAACTCCATATGCATGACACTAGATCTCACCCTAGTGTGGCCTTTTAAAATTGTGAGACGCATTTTGAAGGTCCAAAGTGGACAATATTACTAATTGTGATCATGCACTTTGGCATGGGATGTTACACAATTTTCAATAAATATTGACATTTTCTTATCCATGGTTTTCAAATTATCAATCCCCCTCCCACCTAAGCCTTTAACATTATATAGGACAACATCTTAATCTTATGTATATAAAATTGTTGTAACAACAAAATTCTTCTTAAAATCCTCAAACAAACACCCATTGGACTTTAAAACAATCCTCAATAAATACTCAATGGGCCCTAAAATTTCTTTAATAAATACCTAATGAGCTTTTTTTAAAAAATACCTATTAAAAAGTAATTTAAATTAACTATATATTGAATATTATTCCTATAATCCAACCTTAATAAGAGTTGATTTCTTATTAATTTTAGGATTTGACTTGATATTTCTTTAATATCTTTTCAATTATATAGCATTAGGGCTACAATTATATAAATGGACAAGTAAAAGGGAAAAAAAAAAGTGGCCGGACACAAAATCACATTTTGAAATTTGGTTCTCTTCAGAATTGTAAAACTATTGTGTTGGTTCTCAATTTTCTAAAATTTTTACATTTTAATCCTCAGATGTCAGAATTGTAAGATTTAGTCAATTTAGAATTCTACAATTTAGTCAATTTCACCTGTTCATTCATCATTTTTCTTTGTAAAACATTGTGATTTAGTTCCTAATTTATGATTATAAAAAATTAAGTCATATCCTATACAAATAATGAAAATAATAAAAAATTGACTAAAATCACATTAAATTTATTTAGATATTAATAAAATTAAGGCTAAATTAGCATCATATTATGTTTAAGAATTCAACCTATCAAGTATTTTAAGGAAAGTTTGTAAATTTTATGTTAAAATTTTATTAAGACTTTTATTGAGTTG